ATTGAGTATGTGGAGAGAGGCGAAGCTTGCTACCGGTGAAGAAATTTTATGTGAAGAAGATGAAAATGCCGATGCTCAACTAAAGAAAGTATGAACGTGTTGACGAGGGTGAGGAAGAAGAAACAACTGACTGTGATGACTGAATGGATTGTTGAATTTAATGAATTGAATGTGAATGTGAATGAATTGTTGGATTTAATGGATAGATTGAATGTTATGTGAAGTTTATATACTATTATTTGTTTTTTCGATAAGTTTTGTAGAAAGTATGTTTACAGTGTTCTTTTTGTAACATTTTATTGTGAGTGATATTGTATCAAAGAAGTATAAATTAAGTTATGTAAAATTATATTTGTAGTATACTTAAATGCTGATTATAATATTTTGATATGATATATTTAGTATAGTAATATATTGATAATAATATTCTAAAATGCTTGTTGAGTTCCGAAGAACACTAATGTTGTTTGATATTGCAGTAATATGCTATAGACAATATAACAATATATTTGTAGGTAATCCAAAAAAAAATACTTTTTTCGGTTTATGTAAATGCTTTTTATAAGAGGTGAATATACTATCTTCAATAGAATAATATACTAACCATAACACAATAATATACTAGATTATGGATGAACCGCTAAAATATCAATCTCCTTCTTGTATCATGTTGTTTATTTATTTTATTAATCCTTTTATACTTCTTTTTTCATCTAAGAGTTGCAAATTGACACGTTTCTTTTAATTTTTCCTTTTGAATTATCCTTCGACTTTAAATTAAATTGTCTACGGTGACTGTGGTTTGTACTTCTCATGTAGTATGAATAATCAGTTAATTTGATATCAAATAAAATTCAATGAAAATAAAATATATAAGAGATGTAACTGTTATTTTGATATATCGATGCTCCTCAATTCATATTTGAACATGTAATTGTATTGTGAAGCAATTCATTGAATTTAACGAAGAATGAATTGTAATTATTTGGCTTAGATGCTATTTACTTTGCAGATCTTATAAAAAAGTGACACAATGATTTGTATCTTCATGAATAATTCATTTCCTTTTGGCCGGATGTTAAGTTTGTGTGATAATGCTGTAACATGTTCTTAGCATATTTTATTCATCTATTCGTATCATATTAGACGCTAAAAAATCTTCCTAGATTGCAAGCCAATATATGGAGCATGTATATATTATACGCTAAAAAAAATATCATATAATATGTTGTTTATTGCATTTTAAAATATTGTTATAGAGTTTAGAAAATGTTGAGTCTTGTATTTAAATTTGTCAAATTTCGTACTATATATTATAATATGAAATATTTCCGATGCACACGTAAATGCTAAATTGAACTAAATTTACTTTAATTAATAGTAATTTTGATGTTTTAATTCAAATATGATTGTTAATACATATTTGCGAAATTCTTAACAAATCACATGAGATTTTAATAGTTCCATTTATCTCTAAATTTTAGAAAACTTAAGTTAACACAATTTCATAAATTATTATTCAAATTTGACTAAAGAAACAATAAGCCGACAATTCGAATCAAGTAAATGCAATCCAATAAATTGATTTAGATATTGATGATTTCAATTTTATTGTCCAAATTTTACTTACTTGGTTAGTCAAGGAGACAAAGTATTGAAACTTAGATATCTTCGTTTCTTCTTGAAGATTGATTGATGTTGAAATAATGACAAATAAATTTACGTCTTCATCGATTTCATTCATTAATTTTGACTCTGTTTTTTGTTTTTCTACTATTTAAATATATTCACAAGGAATGAGAAAAACAAAAAGAAAAATGAGGAAGGAAAAACAATGACTTGCTATATTAGTTAGTCAAAGAGAGAAATTACTCATGAAAAATGAGGAATGAAAAACAATGACTGCTATATTAGTTAGTCAAATAAAGAAATTACTCATGTAATCTTCAATTACTACCCAACATCTAATTTCACCCAAATATTATTGTTGAAACCTAAAATTCAGAGGCTCTAAGACCGTTCGTCAATTCCATCGGTGTGAGTTCCGAAAGTACTCCAAAGAGCCTGTCTGCCGTCAGATTGGGGGCGGCTACTTCGGTGGAGCCTACACGGCTTTGAGCCTAAATGACCGATTTCAATGGATTTAAACTAACATCTACTAAAATTCGGATAAATCTACTGGAAAGTGGATAAAAATATGCTAGAAATATAAATTAACAAGAAATTAAGATAATCTCCTAAAACTTGTAGATAAACTAACAAAATGATAAAGACTTGTAGAAGATATGTATGTTCTTGTCGTGTGTGGGGTCTTTTCACTAGTTTTAATCCCTAAGATCAAGTAACTAGCTTTTCTACTAAAAATGTGGTTTCAATAATTTCTTCAACTACCTCCAACCGTCTAGTAACCTCCTTCCATCAGCTTCAAACCGCTGGATTTGCTTTGAACATCTTCCGTTGCCTCGGACCGGTTCTACTCGCTCTGAACTTCTTTTATTGCCTCTGGACCGGATTTGCCGCTTACCCCGATTTGCTTCCATCATACACTAGCCGGTTGATGACTCCAAGTATGAGCATATTCTTAGCTGGACAAAATTGTGTATTACTTGAATTTCTGAATAAAAATCTTCACAATAACTGGTTAAATGACATACTTTATTGATCTATATCGCTTGACATGATCCAGAGTTTGTTTGTTGAGATTATTAACGATTTTTGCCCTTTTAAGCTGTGTTTTGGTGCCAGAAAGGCTAAAGAAGACACCATAAGCGACAACCACTTTCGCTCGCAAGCGGCGATTACATCACCCAGAAAAACTAAGGCAAGAGAGGCAAGCGGTAGCTTCCACCGCCACAAGCGATAGTCTCTCCCGCTCGCAAGCGACGGCCCAGATGCCCACCGCTGCAGAGTGACAACAACCTAACTCAAATATTGACTAAGTGTCCCAACTGCAGCGGTACAACCATTCTATCACCACCCAGCACAAGCAAGCCCGCCTAGCTGCGCTGATGCCCTCCAGCCCTTTGGCAAGCGAGGAAGATCTGAGCCCCTACAATCCTATGCAAGAAAAGCGAACACCTTACGAGTTATGGCAAACAATTGCTTCAACAGAATAACTGCCATCAACTGCCTAACTGTTTAGCGGTTGAAACTGCCTTGTACCTGCTTGCAACCATTTCTTTTCACCTACTATAAATAGGGCCAGATATCTGTATGTAAATATACTTCGATTGGAGTATTATAGCGATTAAAATTCTGTGCATTTTAGCTGTCTTCCTGTTCTTCGAGAGCTTCAACCCTGTAAGGGAGTTCTTCACAGGAATGACTAAGGGAGTGGGGATTTCCCTTCTTCATTGGCCAAGACTTTACTACTTACTTAGTGTACCTTTACTGCTTTCAATTACAGCTTTGTAGAATTAGCAATTCCAACTTTATTAGTAAGTAATGAAATATCATTTAATTTTTCATCTCTACTTCTTTCATATCTTTTTCACACTTATATATAAACCCTGATTTTAAATAATTTCATTTAACTGGTTTAGAGCATAAGAAGAATTGATTATTCAAGCCTTGTTTTTTGCCAAAAGCGTTTTCAAGGTAGTTTAATGTAGTTAAGTACGCAGTAGCCTTGTCAACTTGCTTAATTTGTTTTGAATTCAATTTTGATTAAAAAAATATAACAGAAGGTAAAACCACTAATGAGTCAGAAGTTTAATTAACGGGGCATAGGCGGTGGTCTATTAGGTCACATAAATTTCTAGTGGCAGTAGGGGTTCTTTCTTATAATATTCTGATTCTGAGTGTCAATAAAATCTTATTGTAAATCCCTTAAGGTCATATTCCAATTATAAGAATTCTTTATAATTCGGTTTATATATTTACATCATCTTCTTCCCCCGCTTTCGTATTATACATATACCTCCGTTAACACACCAACATCACTCGCTGACTTCATCTAGGAAAACCTAGTCATTAAGTAGCACACAATTCAGACACAACATCTCTCATCCACTATGCACCACTTATGTATATACATATATATATTGTGTCATCCGATCATGTCCCGTTCACTTGACCATCACTGGTACTTCACCGCTCACCTCTGCTCCGCTCGCCTCCGCTCATTTTACCGCTTTTAGTGACCGTTTTCAGTAGAGTAAAAACTTAGATCCGCTGCAAAGTGGGTCTTTATTTTCTCGCCGCTTTGACAAGATCTACACTTGATTTGAAATTCATGACTTAAAATCCCTATGTTCGATCTGGACACTCACCCGTAAAAGAGTATAAATAATTGTGATAACTACTCAGGATCTACAACTTGATTTTCGAATATAAAATTCCCTGTGAACATATACAAATTACCTATTACAAATTTTAGTTATCATATTTTGGCGCCGTTGCCGGGGATTTTAAACTCACGGGGATATGTTCACAACAGTCTTGAGTCGCGTGGAGTCTTCGGCTTTCCAACGCAGTCCAATGGAGTCTTGCTTTCAACCCAATGCAGAGTAATTTTTTTTTTTTTTTGTGATCGGAATGGAGGCATCAATTTTTGACTTTATGCAGGCATTGCTCCGATCAAGTTAATGGAGGTTGCTGGCCCAAGGTTAACGATGCCTCAGGGTCCGTAGAGACCGCTGCTTTCGACCATGTGGAGGCAGTAATCATTGCTTTGTGGAGAGATCACAGTCCAATCGAGATTGTTGTTTTCAGTTATGTGGAGTCAGCGTTCTTTGGCTTCGTGGTATGAAGTTCCGGTGTTGTTGAATGGCTCTGTAGCTTGGAAACTTCGGCTCCGCTTTTGTCTTCGAATCACCTTCGTAACCGGGTGCTTTTGAACTTATGTCCAGCAATTATTTATAATGAACTATAAACGTGTAGGAATTCTCTTCGGTTAGAAATTGGCTGGAAAGAGTGTTCAAATTTGACTAAGCATAGTTTATGCAGTCGGGGGGCATAAATGAATGCAATAACAACTATGAATAATGACAGTATGTAATAAATTCTGTGCGCCCACTGAGGTCGATTCGTTATACCCTTTCTTTCATTCATTGCCATTGTTTCCGCACGGGTTTTCTTGTGCCAAATTCGATACCTGTCGATCAATGTATTGTGATTAAATCGAACAGATAGATGAAAGATGCTTAGTAAATGCTTGGGGCATGGCGGAGGTCCAGGAAGCTACGGATTGGGTCGTGTCTACGACGGCGGCTGGATTAATGATGCCATTATTCTAGTCAACAATCTCAAGCACGAGCGGCGAATGCTACGACGCTAGATCAATCCCCACAACATTAGGAGCTTCTCGAACTCGCACGCTTGATTGTCCACTGTTCAGCCAAAGTATCGTTTTCCGAAATCAAATGCAGAGAAGTTCTTTTACTGTTTTGACTTTTTTTCGTGCGTACCAAGATATTTTATTCGCGCTTCCTTCGATCGCTTATGCTTCCTTTCATTTTCTGTCACCTAATTGCTGATTGTGAAATTGGAAGGAAACTAATAGGATAGAGAAGTGCGAAGAGTTGGTGCTATTTCTGTTAGGTGAAACTGCTTGTCTACGTGTTGGTTGATCATGATTCTTGTTCTGTTTTTGTGGTTAAAACTTTTTTATTAGAGTATTACATCTCTGTGCCGATTACTTGCCAAGGACCAAACTGTTGGTTAGCCTTTTGCATTTTCAGTAGGGTTTTGGTTAAGAATGAAGTTTGGAGTAGTTATGATCAATAATTTACTTCTTATGAAGCAGTAAACATTATGAGGAATTGACTCCTAAAAAGATCTAGTTGCATTTTGCAGTGCAGTTGAGGTGATTTTCTTGAGCGTTGGTTTTAGTCTAAGAAATTAGGATAATGGCAGCCTCTGGTGATTGGCACTGTGAAAAGAGATCATATTCTAAAAACGAGTCCATGAAAGACAAAGAAAGTGTGCCGGAAACTGGGTGCCTTTCTATCACAGTTCTTGGTGCTTCGGGTGATCTTGCTAAGAAGAAGACCTTTCCTGCACTTTTTAACCTTTATCGGCAGGTAAGTCTGAGTCCATGTTTCAATTTGACGTAGTCATGAATGCTGTTATTTGTTTCATGGCTTGTTGAGTGTATTTAGACATAGAAAATGTGCTAAATTTGTGGCAGGGAATGATCTACTACTCAATTGTCCTTTTTGTCATTTTGAATTTAACTGTGTTCAGGGATTTCTGCAAATGAATGATGTTCACATTTTTGGGTACTCAAGGACCAAGCTTTCAGATGATGAGTTGAGAAATCGAATTCGAGAGTATGATTTCTTTGTCTTCTGTTTGGAGCTGATAAGTTTTTGCATTATGCTCTTTGTTTGTAGACATTCTCTTTTTCTAGACGAACTTGCTTGCTATTCCTTGAATACCTCTGTACTCTCGACTTTTGGCCTTTGTTTACCACATAAATCCCTGGCTTAGGTATCTTCCTCGGGGAAAAGAAGTCATATATGATGTCCCAAACTTTCTGCAGCTGGTTAGTTACACTAAGATGCCTATAGTTTCCTCATACGCCTGCGAAGATGATTATGTGTGCTTACAGTGGACAAAACCTTCCCTGATAATGTAGATCAAGTACTTAAGTGGCTCTTATGACTCTCCTGAAGGATTTCGAGAATTGGATAAGGCAATATCCAAGCATGAGATTTCAAAAAACAGTGCAGAAGGATCATCCCGAAGGCTTTTCTACCTTGCACTTCCTCCATCTGTATATCCACAAGTCTGCAAAATGATTAAAAGTTATTGCATGAACAAATGTATGTATACTCTTTACAAGCTCTTTGTGGTGATTCATTTTCTTCATTCTTAGATAATCTTCGGTAGTGTGAAGCAGTCTTTGTCCTTGTTCTTTGTTTGAGATTCACATGATGGTAACAGTATCCTTTAGTATTGGTGCATTCTAACTAGATGAAAATTTTGTACTTTGATGAATTTTTGGTGGATTGGGATATTACTGATCTTTTCTAATGGTTCAAGTCAGCCAATCATTTACTAGATCATGATTTAACAGGGGAGTTAAACATTTATATTGTATTTAGAAAAGTTGCAATTTTAGTTATGGGACAGAGGGATATGCTTTTTGATTGAGTCATCTAATGTATGATATCCTTTGAGTACTGGAACTGTATATGAGATAATGAAATATAAATTTTTGGTGACTTGGTACAATTCTTCCAGCGGATCTTGGTGGATGGACTAGAATTGTTATTGAGAAGCCCTTTGGCAAAGATTTGTCATCAGCTGAGGAACTGAGCTCACATATAGGAGAATTATTTGATGAACCACAGATTTATCGGATCGATCATTATTTGGGGAAGGAATTAGTGCAAAATCTGGTAATGCTCTCTGGTGCTATTATTACTATCCAGTATCCAGCACAAACAAGGAAAACATATTCATTTCCATGCTTTGAAACATTTGCAGTTGGTGCTTCGATTTGCAAATCGCTTCTTTTTACCTCTTTGGAATCGTGATAACATTGCAAACGTGCAGGTCAGTTATTTGATTTGTCTTATTTCATATGTATGTGGTGATGGAAAATCACTTCTGACTTGCAGATTGTTTTTAGAGAAGATTTTGGGACAGAAGGACGTGGAGGATATTTTGATCAATATGGGTAAAATCCACACTCACTTCTAGTGGCTTCCACTTGTAACTAAGTATCATCTTCCAGCTGCAGAGAATTATCTTTTGTTTTGAATACCAACGCCCTAGAATATATAAGCATTTATTTCCCACTTTTTGGCAATATTGTGGATATTGATATAAACTTTCTATATGGTTCTTTGTTTTGTTTACTACGTAGGATCATCCGAGACATTATGCAAAATCATTTATTGCAGGTGAATATTGCTGTCATTTTACTAAAAACTGGCTCCCATTTGATCACTTATAATCTGACCCGATTACACTGAAAACCATGACATTATATCCTGATATGAGTGGAATTTTCTGGTATAGTTTCTTTTACCAGAATAATATGACAGATAGTTCATGAGACTTTGCAGGTTCTCTGCCTTGTTGCCATGGAGAAGCCGGTATCGCTGAAACCTGAGCATATACGAGATGAGAAAGTGAAGGTATTAGATCTTTTGGTCCTGCAAGAAACCAATTTGGAGTTGCACTTTGTTCATCTACAGTTTTGTGCTTACTTTTGTTGCCAACTTATGTTTTTCCTTGTTGCCATGGAATGGAAGGTTTTACAATCAGTTGTTCCTATTAAAGATGAAGAGGTGGTGCTCGGCCAATACAGCGGCTATAAAGATGATCCAACGGTTCCGAACCACTCAAATACTCCTACTTTTGCAACTGTAATTCTACGCATACACAATGAAAGATGGGAAGGTAGACACCACATTATTTTAATCTATCATTTATGGAAAACTCTTGGATTTGTATCAGTTATGTTCTCAATAACTGTGAATCATTCATTGTAGGTGTTCCTTTTATACTCAAGGCAGGAAAAGCTTTGAATTCAAGAAAAGCCGAAATACGGGTTCAATTCAAAGATGTCCCCGGTGATATATTTAGAAGTGAGACACTCACATTCGAAACTTCTGACTAGAGAGCGCTAACTTTTTAGTTCATAAGTTTGATTAGCAGAGGCTTTTAGTTCAATCTTTCACTCAAGATTTGCGGCTTTCAATTCATGTAGGTCAAAAGCAAGGGAGAAATGAATTTGTGATTCGGCTGCAGCCTTCAGAAGCCATATACATGAAGCTAACAGTGAGTGCAATTCATCAGTGTCATTCTTGAACCTAGCTCATATCCTACTTCACTTATTCCATCTACTGGTGATTTTTTGTATGGTTGAATTCGACTATGTTTCTCTTCGTTTCTTGCTGAGGTTGCTGAGTTCCCTCTCGTGCAGGTCAAAAAGCCTGGACTAGAAATGTCCACTGTCCAAAGTGAGCTAGACTTGTCTTACAGGCAACGCTACAATGGGGTTGTCATTCCTGAGGCTTACGAACGACTTATTCTGGACACGTACATCTGCTCTTCATCTTTTTGTTTTATGTGATCTCCATCCTTGCTAAAAATGGTTCATCAAACTCTTCTTTTGGTTTTTTCTACAGAATTAAAGGCGATCAACAGCATTTTGTCCGCAGAGATGAGCTAAAGGTAACATGACTGCAACTCCGACACCATAAAATTTCTCTAAGTAAATGTTTCGAAAACTTGGTACATTTTCAATGATCAGGCGGCATGGGAGATCTTCACACCCCTTCTGCACCGCATAGACGAGGGAGAGTTTAAGTGCATTCCTTATGAAGCTGGCAGCCGAGGTCCGGCAGCAGCAGACGAGCTTCTTGAAAGGGCAGGATATGTGCAAACACATGGCTACATTTGGATCCCTCCAACCTTGTAATGCAACAACATGCAGATGCCTTAATTGCCTTACTTCGATCCAAAGCCCACATGTAATAAAAAGGGGTAAAAAAATGACTTGATGAATTTGTCTATGGTTTGGAAATTGCATTTGTTTGTGAAATGCTATATAAAATCCCCTCCCTGGCTGTTGCAACTTAATATTGAATGTGTATTTGATGTGATATAAAAAAGTGATAGAGAGGAGGAGGGATTCATATGTGTGTGTATATTCATTTGTATTGTATGGTGCAAAAGCTTTCTTCAAGGATTGAATGTAAGTAAGAAGGAAGCAAGGAACAAATTTGAATATACTTTGTTGAAACTTGGGAATTGAGACTTGAATGTATGTATGTGTTGGGGTACTGGAAAGAAGAATAATATAATAATAATAATAATAATAATAATAATAAGAAGAATATAAAAGAAACCCGATGGTTGGGTGGGGTGGGGTGGGTAAGGGACATTTTGGACTTTATGCGTTTCTTTACCCCTCTGTTTCTGCCCTGTCTGTGTCCCTCTCTTTTTGTTTCTGCGTGAAGATGGGATCCTATCGTAATATACAAGATCCGGTGATTTTTCTTTTAGTTATTTACATTCGTTCTAACTTCGTCACATATAAGATTCCGTGAAGTTTTTATTTATTTTTTATTTATTTATTTTTATCTTTTACTTTTTGAAATAAGATTTATATTCATTCATTAATACTTTATAAATATATAGTATAATAGAGTAAATGGGATTTGCCTAATGTCACTTGCCACACACATGGTTCAACTAATATGACTGATCTGTCAGACCTAGTTTGCAGGGTATTAGGGTATTAGGTTCGACCGGGTTTACGAGTAGCGACCTTGGATTTTTACATTATAAAAAAAAAATTATATATATTTTACAATTGACATTAAAATAAAAATTATATGAAAAATAGATGTATTTAGGTGATATTTAGTTGAAAGTTACTTTTATTTAAAAAAAAAGATAAAATAAAATGAGAAGTTTAAATTTAGAGAGACTAAAATTGTAAAATAAAACATTTACTAATGGATGAAGAGAGTATTTATTTTTTATTATAGCAAAAATATATATTAATACAAAAATATTATTTAATTTTTATATAAATTACAAGTATATCATACAGTTAATTTATATATAAAGTATAAAGAGCAAAAATTTTAAAATCATCTTAAACACTTTCATTAATCAATAAAATATTATTCCATATGTCAAAATAAATAAATAAAATATTACTCCATATGTCCCAAAATAATTTATTTATATTTCATTTTTTTTATCATTATTACACTAATACTATTACTTTTTACATATATATATACTCACAAGGACATTTTAGATTTTTACTATCTATTTTATTTTAATATAATAATATTATTCTTTAATTTTTGTGTCAAACCTCAATGACATCAAACTCTATTGTTCCGGAATAGAGGGAGTATTATTTTTTATTCTACTACAACACTCTTGGGTGTGTTTGTTTGGGGGTATTAATCCCATTTTTTCTCCAAAAATATCAAATCAAACACTTATTTTTAATTTTTTATATTATACTCCTAAAAATCAATTTTACATTCAAAACATCACATCAACAACTATTTACATCACATCATACAACTATTCAAATTCAAAATTTTTACTATTCAAATCCCAACTCAAAATCCAATCCTCCAAACAAACACAGACTTATTTGAATTAAGACAAAAAAAAAGTATAATATTAGTATTTTATTTTACGAAATACTACCTCCGGTTCTAAGAGTCACATTTACTTTTTGCGTGTTAATATTTGAATATTAGTTATTATACCAAAATATAGTACAAATTAAGAAAAAATTACAAAAATACTTCTATTAATGTCTTATAATACTAATAGAGGGACATTTGTAGAAAAAATTATACAAATATAAAAATATTTTTGTTATTATATATTGTTGATACGTTTTTCAACAATAAAAAAGTAAAATTCGAAAATAGAGAAATATCCCCGAATTTGATAGATGAGTGTCTGAAATTAGAAACCTCTAAACACTGTAGAAATAAAATAAAAATAAAGACCGGAAAATAAAGTGGTGATCCCCAAAAGCGATTTTCTTGAATTTGATGTCGATTGAAGATGCCCTTTCTATACAATACGGAATCTTTAAATAACCCTTTAAAGATACGGTTCGAACCGCTATCCGGTCGGTTACCATAACCGCTGTTAACTCCCCAAAAAGTTCTCTTCTATCGACACGTATGAGAACCGTCCTGTCATGTCCGACTTTTAAAAACCGCTCGCCAGTCGAAACTACCCTCCACAATCAGAAACTGCTTTTTACCCGACCTTCTTACGCCCGACCCTTGGAATTTGTCCCGACTTTTATAATCGATTTTTAGATCAAATCTGGTACATACTAACACACTAGTTTGACAAGAAAATTCATGTCTAAAAAATATTTAATTTTTTATTTCAACTTGAACATGCATTTGGAACCATCATGTTAATGAATGCCAGTTTTCTTTTAACTACTTTAATTTTTGGTTGATATTTAATCAAAGTCCTTGGAATTGAAGCCACCACACACAAATTCTTAGATTTATTTGTTAATTTTGATTTATTAAATATGCAAGGAGTTGAACCTACTTGATCACAAATGAATTAACAATTTACATAGCCACTAAAGCAATATATTTATTGGCCTTTTTATCACGAAGGATTTAAGGCGAATGTTTCATCGATGCTTCAATTAAACCTTTAATACTTTTGAATCATTTGTGGACATGTATTTCTCTAAAAAATTATACCTAAAAGTGTATATACGCATTTGATTAATCATGTTCCCAGATTGCATAATTGAGAGAAGTCGTCAGTTGTACTCTTGATTATTAAGAAAATAAGCGGGCGGCCAAAGAAATCAAGGAGGCCTTATGCGAATGTTGTTAATGATAAAAACTAAAATCTCACGTCAAGGTCTCACACACACTTGTGCAATTTTTCTTCAACGAGGCCATAACAAACGGAGTTACAAGAATCTTCTACATCCAAATACAAGACTCCAGAAGTAAATTTTAAATTGATTTACTTTGATTGTCAAACATGCATGATTACATTAATCGGTTTTAATAATTTATGCAGAAATCAACAACACATTCAGGTGTTGCAACTAAATCTCAATCTATTTAAGTTCCTTTGGAGATTCCATTGACCTATCAAGTTTATTTCCAATAATAAAATATTTAATTTATTTCAACAATTATTTATAAATTTCATCATAGTTCAATCCTTGTGTCTTTTTTGGCCTTTGTGTATAGTTTCGATCGAAAAAATAAAGGGTCGGCATTGGCTCAAAGATCGAATGCTACAACTCTCCACAGGTAAATGTTCTTTTAAATATGATTTTTGACAAATAATTTGGATTGTAAATCATAAGTTGCGTCATTTTAATAGACACAACGTAGTATGACTTAAAGAATGATAGATATACCCATTGAGCTTTCAAACATAGAATCACATATACTTTCATGTCTTTACATTGTAACTATATATCAAAGGAATCGCTTAACCATTTATCCTTAAAACTATGTATTCTTTCCAACAAAAAAATAGATTGACGTCAGGTATACATAATCCAAAAAGAAATATATCATCATGGGATAACACCCGTACTACGATAGCTTCACCTCTTGTAGAGGGGTTTTAATGATTTTTTTTTCCAAGTGTTAAGGAAAAATATTTTGAATCATTATTTCTAATCCGATGGTATGTGTTTTATATATATATATATACATATATATATATATAAATAGTATGCTCATTTCAAAGCACAACCGGAGAAATAAACACAATCCAAGACTGACGGTGCAATTTCTAAACAACATAAGAGTAGATTAACACGCATTTGTAGGACTAACTTGACTCCAAAGGTATCCTCATTCACTGCTCAGCTCTGTAAATATAAAGTTTTCATACTAACCAAGAACGTCAACAGGTTAGTTAAATCAAAAGTGCGATACAGATTCAACCCAAAGTAATTGAGATACTTATGAATTGGATTGATGTGTGATGGATTGGAATTCATAATGGACATTATGGCTAACGGAAGTATAATGCCATATTTTTGTGTATTTTTTTATGTTGTTTGTAATGTTTATAAGATGATTGTCTATTTTTTATTTTTTTTTTGGAATGGTTACATGTTGTTTGTTATGATTTATGATAGTGTATTATGACATTTTTTTTTTTCTATTTCAATGTTATTTGTAATTTTTAAGATGTTTTTTCTATTTAATTTTGTTAACGATAGAAATGTTCCTAATTAAGAAAATGAATATGAACAAAAACAACACATAATTCATAATTTGGACAAGATTATGTCCAAGTTCATTGTAATGCATAGCAACAAAGTATACAAACTACATATATTATTCTTTCAATATATTTACAATAAAGCTTTTCTACAACATGACTCGCAATTCAACATTATATTAATTCAATTTTATTTATTTTTTATCATTTAATGGCTTAAAATTATTTTCAAATTTGGAGTTCAATTTTGATCCAATTGTGCATTTTAGTACTGTTAAACATAACCAAATTTTGCACAAATTTTGCACAAATGCAATACAATATTACTATACAAAACAACAACCTTTAGAGAGTGTTTTCATCCTAATAATCACACATATATATATATATAGGTTAAGAAGACCTACCATCATTGCCGCCACTGCCGCCGCCACTGTTATCAGAAATAGTCTTCTCTCACAAGTCATTGCTATGAATAACAATGGGTCCATCCGGCTTAAAGGATAAATTCATTGTCTTACCAAATATAAATTCAATAAGTCTACTATATTGAATCATAAAAAACAAACACTTCTAATACAACATAGAACATGCGATTACATGCCTTACCAGATACTTAAAGCTTCTATTACTTCAAACAACTTCATCGTATAATCGACGTTAAAATTCAACTTATTTAATCAAGACAACACATCTTATTAGTATAATAGCAACGAGGATACACATTCAATTTTCTTTTCAAAATGATGCAACTCTGTATTCGTTTCTTCACATAGTTTGATCAACCACATAAGATCTTTAACTTCGTTCTCTTTCAGATCGTGCATATTCAACCCCGAAACAACTTCATCTTTATTGAACTTATATACTTTGTGCAGGCTTTCATATTCCTTAATTATGGATTCAAAGGTTCCAACCAATAAAAAAGTTACATCGCCTAAGCTTACAATTGTAAAATAATTTATCTTAAGTATCTTTCGTGTACCCAACAACTCTTATAACCGCATATCTTTGCATGAACATAATGGATTCTTGTATCTCAAATCCAATTTTCCAATATTGTTTCTATGTTTTGGCATCAATAAACTACTTCTTCCGTCATGCAAATGTGTATTCATTTGACCGGGCACGTATTTTAATAAAAGTGAGCAATAATTATTAATTTTTCCTTTTATAGTAAAAAAAGTACAAAAGTGTAATAATTTTTTACTTAAAAAATAAATGAAAATATTTTTTTATGACAATCCAAAAAAGAAAGTGAGTATAAATTTGAATGATGGAGAGAGTATTAAATATAACTACTTTTATCAAAGTCGACAACAAAACAAACACTACTGAAAATGCAAATTAGAACTTTACTTTCGTCTTTAATAATTTACCTTCGACTTATATAGTTTCTTTTCTAAAATCTTTTAATTGCAAATAAAAAAAAACATTCAATTATGAAATTACTTAATTAAGTTCATTTTTTAGCAAAATTCAAAAAATAAGACCCTTCTATAAGACCTAAATCAATCACAATAGAAAATCAAACATAAACCCATCAACAAAACAAGCAATTGCTAAGCTAACACTGAGTAACTTATTTGAAGCAAAGATACTTTTTTCAACAATTAGACAATTTAGTTTTTGCAGTCGACTAAGTTGAATCAAACACAAATTAAAATCTGATTATTTCGCAATCCACTCAATTGAATCAAACACAAACTCAAACCCAAACTCAATGCTTTCACAACTACTCAGTCGAATCAAATACATACCCAAATTCGATGATTTCGCAATCAGCTTAGTCGAATCAAACACAAACCCAAACCCAATGCTTCCGCAATCAACTAAGTCGAATCAAACACAAACTCAAATCCGATGATAATTCTGTCAATCATGACTTTAGTTTTTTGCAACCCGATGCGTTCAAAAATACCAAATCGATTACTACGAGAAGCTTAGATTCAAAAATAAAAATTTACCCTTTCTTCGTAGAATCCACCATCACTGATTACAGAAGCCGCCATCACTCAGTTAACAAAGAAAATAATGACAAATTGTATTAATTGAAAAGACGATCCCTTAATTTTGGAATATATGAAAAGATAGAATTATTTACGCGTGTATATAATTATCGTTAATTAACTACAGTTGATCATTTTGCATCTTATTCTACAAAACACAGAAATAATTGGTGTTATTTTTAAAATATAAAAGAATGTATTGTTGCTAAATTAAAATACTTTGGGACAATAGAATCTATTATTATTATATTTTCTAGTATGATATTAAATATTTACTTATTCTTACTGTTACAGAAATTCCCAGGAGATCAAGATGAGACAACAAAGACAAAAGAACACAAGATTTGGTAACCCAGTTCGATCACGATGATCTACGTCTGGGGGCGCTGCCAAGCCAGGAATTTTACTATAAAGTACGCAGGCACATGTTAAAGTGAAAATACATGGATATTTATAGCCTAAGCCTTTGACAATAATATCCAAATCATATCTCTAAAATCTAAAATATAATATCCAAATCATATCCCTAAATTTTAGGATATAATCAGGCTTCATATCCCAACAATCTCCCATTTGAAGACTGATTTCATCTTCCACTTCAACATACCTTATCCAATCTCCACTCCCCACCATTCGGTGTTCTGATTCGAATCATTCTTTTACCTACAATTTTCAGTGTCTCATCATCTGCAAGATAGACAACACCAAAAAATTACCTGTAGTATAGGATTCCATGATTCCCGAATCACTGCATGAGTGGAATAATGCTCCTGAATCAGCACATCGGATATCTCCTCCGCTGTGTTTGCTGAACCCTGATCCTTCTCCGGCACCCCGCACTCTCGTTTCAAGTGCCCCTTGCAGTTTCAACATACCACCTGACTTGCATCTTCCTTGTCGATCATCTTTTACTCGACTTCATCCATCTTGACTCCCACAAACAAACATAAGGCTCACTTGATATGAGAGCACATCAGATATTCCGCTGCGTTTGCCGAAACCCTTATCCTTCCCTGCCTACCTTGCACCGTCTATCACAAAGGGACTCGCTGCTTGACCTACCAGTCGGGACCAACCCAACAATGCCAGGAGACTTTCGACACAAGGCACTTCCGCAAGTCACAAGGGATTCCCACAACGATCCAACGTCCGATTCCTCTCAATCCACCCTATCAACGAACTAGGCTCTGATACCACTTGTTACGGAAATATCCAAGAAATCAAGATGAGACATGATTTGGATATTATTGTCTAAGGCTAGGCTATAAATATTCATGTATTCTCACTTTAACATGTGTCTGCGTACTTTATAGTAAAATTCCTGGCTTGGCAGCGCCCCCAGACGTAGATCATCGTGATCGAACTGGGTTACCAAATTCTTGTGTTCTTTTGTCTTTGTTGTCTCATCTTGATTTCCTGGAAATTTCCGTAACAAGTGGTATCAGAGCCTAGTTCGTTGATATGGTGGATTGAGAGGAATCGGACGTTGGATCGTTGTCGAAACCCTTATCCTTCCCTGCCTACCTTGCACCGCCTATCACAAAAGGACTCGCTGCCTGACCTACCAATCGGGACCGACCCAACAGCGCTAGGAGACTTTCGACACAAGGCACTTCCGCAAGTCACAAGGGATTCCCACAACGATCCAACGTCCGATTCCTCTCAATCCACCCTATCAACGAACTAGGCTCTGATACCACTTGTTACGGAAATTTCCAGGAAATCATATCTCTAAATCTCGGATATTATCTCTGAATCATATCTAAATCATACCCTAAAATTTAGGATATAATCAGGCTTCATATCCCAACAATCTCCCATTTGAAGACTGATTTCATCTTCCACTTCATTATACCTCATCCAATCTCCACTCCCCACCATTCGGTGTTATGATTCGAATCATTCATTTACCTACAATTTTCAGTGTCTCATCATCTGCAAGATAGACAACACCAAAATTACATGTGGTATAGGATTCCATGATTCCCGAATCACTGCATGAGTGGAATGACGCTCCTAAAACCAAAATCCATGACTTCATTGGACTGCTAACGCTCAGAATCAGCGCATCGGATATCTCCTCTATTGCGTTTGCTGAACCCTGATCCTTCTCCGGCGCCCTGCACTGTCTTTTCAAGTGCCCCTTGCAATTCCAACATACTACCTGACTTGCATCTTCTTTGTCCTTATTATTCGGCTTCAACTTTGACTTGATCTTCACCATTTCCTTTTGCCTCAAATCTAAATTCAGTCGAGACATTCTCCCAAATGGTTAGTCGAACCGCACTCATCGTCTTCCTGTCGATCTTCTTGTATTCGGCTTCATCCATGTCTTCGGATTTCTCCTTCAATACCGCATCTAGATCTTTACCATTCATGTGATCTTCTATATGCATATTTTAGAAACCGAAGTTGATACTATCGAATACCTTGACAACATGACGATCACCCATCTTGACTCCCACAAACAAACCCAAGGCTCACTTGATATGAGAGCACATCTCTGATATCTTCTCCGTTGCGTTTGCCGAAACCCTTATCCTTCCCTGCCTACCTTGCACCGCCTATCACAAAGGGACCCGCTGCCTAACCTACCAGTCGGGACCGACCCAACACCGTCAGGAGACTTTCGACACAAGGCACTTCCGCAAGTCACAAGGGATTCCCATAGCCACAATCAATATCCGATGCCTCCCAGTCCACCTTACCAACGAACCGGGTTCTGATACCACTTGTTATGGAAATTTCCAGGAAATCAAGATGAGACAACAAAGACAAAATAACACAAGATTTGGTAACCCAGTTCGATCACGATGATCTACGTCTGGAGGCGCTGCCAAGCCAGGAATTTTACTATAAAGTACGCAGACACATGTTAAAATGAAAATACATGGATATTTATAGCCTAAGCCTTTGACAATAATATCCAAATCATATCTCTAAAATCTAAAATATAATATCCAAATCATATCCCTAGATTTTAGGATATAATTACGCTTCATATCCCAACACTTACAAATATCATATTCTATGTATGTCATAATAATATTCTATGTATGTCATAATAATAGTTTGATTTGAATTCGGCAAAAGTTTAATGGATAATAATTTTATATTAAAATGGAGCATATAGTGAATATAGTAAAAAATCAAAATATTCTTGTTATTGTATTTGTATTTGTATAAAAACATATGACATATGTATAATAATAATAATAATAATAATATAATAAAAATAATATTAGGGTGATATAACTATTTAAAATAAAATTATTATTTTAAAACGAATAAAAATAATACAATACTATTATTTTGAAAAAAAAAATAGTAAATACTAAACATTTATTATTAAAAAAATAAATAAAAACGGAAAACTCAAAAAAAATAAATAAATAAATACATAACTTTTTTCGTACAAATTGTACAAATATTTTTACCCCACAATAATCATCTTGGAAAAGTGACAATTTGCGCGCACAATCTTAAAAATAAAAAAATAAAAAAATAAGAAAAATGGATTCCTTCTGTGGTGTGAAATGTTCAAGTTCAATTGGCACCACGCGTCCGTCGCTCAAATATCGTACCGATTTTCGCTCTCTGCCTTCCATCTTCCCCACGCCACGCCCTCTTTTTCTCACTTCCCTTCCCCTCCCTATTTACTTGGTCTACACATACACGCTATTTAATCCCCTCTCTACAAATTTCATCTTGATCTTGCTATTGCACTCAATATATTACGCATCCAAGCTTTCTTTGCTTCCTGTTCGGATTAAATAGTTAGATTCTTCGTCCTTCGGTTTTATTTTATTCCATTTCATTTCACCCCTTTTCTTTCTGAATTAGCTTCCTAGTTTGTTGCATTTTGCGCTGGTTATTTCCGGTGATGCTATTTAGCATTGCGGTTTGGTTTAGGGTTGGAAATTGGGTCGCCGTTTGCGGTTCCCAATAGACAGGTGTGTATTCGTCGCGAGGTGTATGCAAATTTCCTGAAATTTTGTGGTTTATTTAGTCTATGCTGATAGTTGGCTATTGTTGTTCGTATGAAGATGTTAGGTTGCACTGAGATTGGAAATTTCCTCGGTTCGTGCGGTTTTTGTTGTTTGGGTAAAAAGTGAAGGCCTTTAAATTTCTGGTGTTGTGATTTGATTATACGGGGCTTGTTTGTCGAAGATATGGCATTGGATGAAGGAGTGAAATTATTTGGTGGTGTGAATTTTGATGATCGATGTTCAACGGAGGAATTTCTCCGTGCTGGTGGAAAATATTCGATGGAATTTGAATTATTTGATGATTCTAATTCTAATAAGTGTTCTGATGATGACATAGTTAATTTGTTGCCTAATGATCCTTTTGGGATGGAGATTAATCTATGTTTGCCGGTAGATCCGTTTGGGATGGATTTTCCTGTTGGTGAGCCCAATGATACTTTTGATATAGATATCAAGGTAGAGACTACCATAGCTGACACTGTTGGTTGGATGAAGAAATGCGAGTTGATGGCTTGTGGGTTCAAGAATGATGATGCTTTTATCGACAAAATCATGGATGACAGCATATCTTTCACGGGAGTGAACTTTGTGCTTTCAGGCATTTTAAATTACGAGCAAGAGGAGGGAAACAATGCATTGGTTGATAGTGCTTTGGCAACGCAATTAGGTGGTGGCGGTGGTGGTTCATATGATGCCGAAAGTCGGAAACTGGATTATGGCACGGGGGAGGAGATATTGTGCTTTGGCTTTGAGAAGTACCAGTTAGATGTTACAAACGATGGTAATGTAGGTGCTCCACCAAACGCCATGTTTTTTGCACTTGGTCATCTCGGTCTTAAAGATCTACTATCAGTTGAAATGGTTTGCAAATCGCTCCGTGATTTTGTCCGAGATGATACACTTTTATGGAGAAGTATTGATATAGAATATTCATTGAAGAATAAGGTCACTAATGATATTCTCTGTCGGTTAACTGACCGGGCACAAGGTATGCTCAGCAGCTTGAACATTGAGAGGTGCCCAAAGATCACAAATGCTGGTTTATTTTATGTGCTCAGAAACAATCCAGGCTTGACCAAGGTCGGTCGGTCTATGTGTTTTGTGCTTCTTGTTATTTATATTATTCTCAGTTTTTGTTTACTATGCCATTAAGCTTTATGATTTAACTTTGTTGTGAATATTCTTAATGTTAATAAACAATTCGCATATAGTTGTTTCTTGGAACTATTATAATGAAGCTTGTCTAGTGCTCAATCGAAAATAACTAATTTGTTCTACAGTTTCAACAAATTTATGCCTTATTTCCATTCATGAATGTGCAGTTAAGTGTGGCAGCGTGCAACGGACTCAATGCTAAACAAGTATTGAGTGACCTGTGGGTGTTTAATTCCAGTACCGTGCCTGGTATCAAACGACTCAGAGTTGGCAACCTTTACGGTTTGACAAGCCAGCAACTCGAAGAGTTTAGGCTTTTATTGGGGATGGATGAGGACACGAATCCCATGAACCACAAGCCAATATATTTTCGAATACAGGAGTCCTATGTTTCTTTGGACGATGAACGCCCTCTTGACGTTGAAACTTGCCCTCTCTGTCTGGGAATAAGACAACTTTACGACTGCCCATCCGAAAGTTGTCAAGCAAATGCGCACTCTGCAATGGCATGCAGGGGCTGCAGTCACTGTATTATACGTTGCTTGAATTGCGGAAGCTGCTTGAATGATAAAGAATACCAGGAGACTTTCTCCTTTGAATTTATATGCATGGATTGCTGGGGTACTTTCTTTAATGTCGACGATGTGGCTGGAATGCCACCACCACCGGGGCTTACTTTCTATTATCAAAAGGGGACCTTCCATTTTCTCGTCTTCAGCTAAGAATGTGAAAGTACGACGACCAAATCACGAGGCTCTGAATCAAATCGAATCTGACAGCTCAGTGGATATTCAAGGTAACAGATAACATCGAAAGATCAAAAAGCAACTCAAAGTCAGCTCAGTGGAGATATTCTAGGCAACAGATAACATCAAAAGATCGAAAAGCAACTCAAAGTCAGCTCAGTGGAGATATTCTAGGCAACAGATAACATCGAAAGATCGAAAAGCAACTCAAAGTCAGCTCAGTGGATATTTAAGGTAACAGATAACATCAAAAGATCGAAAAGCAACTCAAAAGTCAAAACACTTGGTTCCGTAGGTTATTTGCGCGGGCTTTTGCTTGAATGCCGGCTGCCTGCCTGCCTGCCTTTCGATAGTTCTGAGAAAAAGGAAAAACTACACCACCCTATGCTGGTAAGGGATAAATGCTTTAGTCTAAGGTGTCTATATTTGGGCTTCAAGGAAGAAGATATGATTATGATATGTTGAGGTGCTGGTATGAGTTTCAAGTCAAGCCTAGCCTAGCAGCCATTGTTGGCAAGTGAAAGATGATTGTGAATGCAGTATGTGACAGTTTACTAGTAGTGAATGTTGATGGTGGGTTGGCCGCAAAAACTCATGTTTAGATTTCAATTGAGAGGAAACTTTCAAAAAAGTAGTGTTTGTTTGATGTTCATTTCATGTTTCTTCTTGTTTATTGTAATCTCTTTATGCTTACTCTTTACTATGAAAATAGCTTTTCTTTTTTTGTTCTGAGTTGAAATAACTCTGGTCCTCAAGAATGTATTAAATTAAAGTAACAGTGCATATTATTAACTCATTAATTTACTGATTAAAATCGGATTAATTGGATTCCTATAATCAATTTACTAATATGTTTTTATGGATTGAGTTATGTTGCTTGTTTTATATACTCACAAATGAATAAAGTTGTAGTTTAAATGATATATATTTGCAGTCCATACATATTAGATGAGATTTGTGTTTGCCTGTTTGCCTCCTAAGAGCATATACAAATACAATAGTAATGGTTAAAAAAAACTAAAAAACTTCTAAAATGGTGTGTCTATCTTGAGGGTTTGGATTGAGATTTGAAAAGTAAAAATTTTATATGATATTTTAAATGTAAAATTAATTTTTAATATAATATAAAAAATAAAAAATAGGTGTTTAATTTAATATTTTTGAAAAAAAATAAATAAATGAATAATGAAAATTAAATCCAATCTTCCAAACAAACACACCTGTGTTCAAGAAGAAGAGACAATTTAATTTTTATCCCACAATGGTCAAATTCATTTAGTCAAATATGATCTGAGAGAGGAAAGAGAAAAGGGAAGATAAAAAGCTTCAACAATGCCTCGTTGCACTGGACTGTCTCGGTGGTTTCATATTTTAGGCGACTAAATTTTAGAATATCTAACAAAAAGCTTCTGTTGCAGTGAAAAAAGCTTCGAAATAGTGACTATTGTATTTGCTCTAAGCTTTTGGCTCGAAAATTAATACTATCTTCATCTCATAACAAATTATTTATTTTTTTATTTTGTTCTGTATCATAACAAAATATTAATTTTTTTTTAATAATTGTACTATCTATTCTAACGTTATAAATATCTATAATTTACAATATATTACACAAATTTTATAATACTAATGTACCTTAAATTACTTGCAAAAAAGCAAATAGATCCTTGTTTAAGAGATGGAATGAATACTGCAATGATAATTACAATTCAACTAGTTCATTGCGTGAGTTCCTTTAACATAATTCCTTTTTCGTAAATATCAAATCAAATAAGTATATTTTATTTTCTATGATAGTCTAAAAGTTATTTTCATACTCCCTCCGTCTCATTGAAAGGTTACCGTCCGTTCCAAAACAAATTATCATTTCCTAATTTAGTAATTATACTACCTACCTAACATAATAAATACCCATTCAACTTACAATATATTAAGCAAATGTCATTACTTTTATCTTACACCGTACTAATAGGAGTATTTTTGTCTTTTTTACTAAAATTTAATATAATACTAATATTCAAAAATTTACGTACAAAAAGCAAAATGAATGGAGTATTTAAAATATAAATATATAATTCTATTTCAATTGAAAACTTTTATTATTCAAAATGGAGAGATTGTTTTGTGAAAAATTTTAGACATTTTTTTTTTAAAAAAAAAAAATTATATGCATTTTTTTTATATTATTTACACAATTTTTATATTTCGTATTAAAAAAAATCATTCAAATCAAAAGACAAAACAGACATAAAATTGTTAAGAAACAGTATAAAATATGAGTGGATCTACTTTGCAAATTTGAACTGAATGGATAATTTGGGTGGGCGAACCATAAGTATGTTTCTTTTTATTAGTTTGGAAACAAATTTGATTTGAATTTTATATTAAATAATATTTGATGTGATATTTGTGAGATAAAGAAATTGTATTTTTTCGAAAATCATTGAGATCAAATAATAAATAAATAGGGAGTTTTGGGGTAAGAAACACGCCATTGTTTTGACTATAAATATACACACATGCTAATAAGTTAGATTTATTCAAACAGACCTTTTATTATAATTTGTTAAAATATTAAATCAAAATCGGATTTTTTAATATTTTTCATTTTTATTTTTAAAATTTTCTAAATTTAAAATTGATTCATAAATAAATAATTTTAATTTTATTTAGACCTTACTTATATTTATTTATTAGGTAAAAATCATATAAAATAATAATTGATTAAAGTATTACTATAAAAGTAATTAAAATAATTAAATTAGTAAATAATTAAATATTTTTTATATTTAAATAAATAAAAATAAATTATAAAAATATTGACATATTAAATTATAAAATAATTTATATTAAATATAATTATACAACAAAAAATACACAATTTAAAATAAAAATATGCAATATTATTATTTTTTTATATTATTAATAGTTATTTATTTTTGTTATCAACTCTACATACAAGAATTTTAAAAAATATATTGGTAAAAATAGATATTATAATAAAAACAATTATATATTAAAATAATTAAATAATTTAATTAAAATTAAAAAATATAAATTATTGTTATATAAATACTTCCTCCATTCCCAAAAGAAATATTCATTTGTTTTTTGCACGTAATTTTAAAAATATTAGTATTATATTGGGATATAGTAGGAATAAAATGAAAATAACTAAAATAACCTTGTTAGTACGTGTGATATAAAGGTAATGACATTTGTGTAATATGTTGTAAGTTGTAAGGGTATTTGTAATGTTAAGTAGACAGTACAGTTACTAAAAAAGGAAATAGATACTTTGTTATGGGACGGACTAAAATGAAAAAATGGATACGTTGTTATGGGACAGAAGGAGTAATATAATATGTATATTTGTAAGTATATATATATATGTATGTTGCGTTTGTTTGTAAATGAGTAATTGAAATGTTATAATATATATACTAATACTCGTGAACGCAATACTCGTGAACGCGCTACGCTGCGTCACTCGTTTGTTTGTTTCATTTTTTTTAAAGAAAAAGTTGTTATATTGTGTATTTTAATCAACGGAAATATCTAATTTATATGTAGTCTATGTTATTCTGAATAGCGGGTGAGTTTTAGATTTCAGTAAACTGAAAACAGCTTTGTTCCAACCTAAGGTTAATAAAATGGATTAAATTTGTGATATTATATTAGAAATGTTTATAATTAAAAAATAATAATAATTACGAAATAAAATATACCAAATGTACAAATTTTAATAACGATTTAAATAAAAGTTGTAATAGAGTAGTATCATGTTGTAATCACTCGAAATTATGATTTTATAAAATGGTTTAGTTATCTTTTATTCGTTTGATTGAACAGAGGAGAATAATTAAGTTCCTGCACAGTGATAGAGTAACCTGACATTCAAATTAATTATGTTTAACATATTTTATAAGTAAATTATAAATAAACCAAAAATATAGATATTTGTAATAGCGAGATCCGTCGGGTGAGATAGCGCCGACCAGTTTGGAAGGGAGTGATAAGGAAATATGAGAGATAGCGGCCGACCAGTTGGGAAAGGAGTGACAGCAGGAGTCCGTTCGGTTGAAGATTGATATGTGCAAGATCGGTTTATGTTTCAAGAAGTATTTTTTGGGGTCGGTAGACCTATGGTAAAGTTAGAAATTATATATATTTGTATTTTGGAACAATTACAAAGTAAGCATTTTATTGCAGTTTTTTTTATATAAATACTTTAATTTATTATCATATTATTACTTTTATCCCAAAAAACAAGGCCAATAATGTTATTACAATTATTTGTAATTATCCAGTATAATTAAAGTATTATAATTAAAGTATTATGTTATATATATATATCAATATTATAATTTTATTTTTTTAAATATTTTTTTATATTATACTTTTGTGATAATTTTTTTTCTATTTTATTAAAAAATTATAAATTTATTATAAATATATATTTTTTATATTTATGCAACCAACCAATTTAAAAATATATATATTTTTTTGAATAATTTTTTTCCTATTTTATTAAAAAATTATTTTCTACAAAATGATATATATACTTGTTGATGCCGATTTTCAACAATAAAAAGTAAAACCCGAAAATAGGAATTATCTTCGAATTTGATAAAATAAAATGCCTGAGATTTAAGAATCCCTACACACCGTACGATACATAAATAAAATAGGAAAATAAATACTACAGACTGTAAAAGTAAAATGATGATTCCCAAATGAAATTCACTGAATTTGACGTCGATTGAAGATCGTTTCTTTAGGTCATGAACAGACCTATTTAAAACCTATGTCAACCGCCACAACCAGGTCGTGCCTTCATATCCGCTCGCCGGTTGTAACTTCTCTCAACCGTCATGAACGGACCGAATGGTGGTTGCTCGAGTGGGCAACTGATTAGTCGTTTGGTCTAGCGACCAGTTAGTATCTGGATTGGTCGGTTGGTCAATCGTTGGGTTATTCGATAGGTTCAGTGGGTGGATGGTTCAGACGGTTTCTCAGTCGGATGGTGATTTATGATTCGTCTGAAAAGGCGTCTATTTTATTAAAAAATTATTCTCTACGTAAATAATGCATAAAAATATAATTTAAGAAACACATCAATTAATTTAATTTATACAACACAATAATTATAAAATATACTTAAAAATTAATAAATTAATATTTTACACACAAAATACAATAAATATAATTATTGAGTTAAATTAATATAAATTATACCAAAACTCCATATAAATAATTAATTAATATGATAAAAATAAACTATAAAATATATCAAAATCAAGAGTTATCACCGACTTTCTTCTGGACGATTGTCTTCAATCCTTCCCATGTGAGGCCAACCGACTCCCCCAGTTTTGACTCTCTAAAATATATTTATATAATTCATTCTTTTTTTCTCTCTCATCATTCCATTCAATCAGCCGTCCAATCGGACAATTTTTTTTTTGTTTTGCGTGCCCAACAAATTCGAAAACCGATACATTAGTTTTAAATACATTTATTTATATATGATAACATTAAAATATTGTAAGTAAGTCATTGTATTAAAAAAAATGTTGTGATCTACAAAATGAGATTCATATCAATATATTTTGCACAAGTAAATCAGTACAAAATAGCAAATAGAATTGAAAAAATACACCTCTCAACAACATTCCAATATCATCACTGTAAATTACAAGGGGGTTAATTGACAAATTTAGTCAACTTGACGACAATATTACCGGTACGTATAGTTGATGTAAATATACATTGTTTCACTATTAAGACTAATTTAGTAAAAATAGGTAGTCATCCGTACAACTTTTCATATATATATACACACACGTGTTTCAAGAATATATACACATATGTAATGATGAATTTAAAAATGATTCAATTTATAGCAAAAGCAAATAGAGAGATGAATAAGTTTCAGTGCAATGCTGATTTATGAAAAATGGATGATTGTATTTCATTTACATACCCATATTTATAGTTACAGGATCCTTCAATATTAAGAAATACCATCAAGTCATATATACACGTAGCTACTATGTGTTCTAACAATTACGTAAGAATAGATGAAAATAAAAAATATGTAGTAATAATTTTAATATACAGGTGTGTTTGTTTGGAGGGTTTGAATTTCGAATTGGAAATTTAAATAGTAAAATTTTTTAATTGAAATTTAAATAGTAAAATTTTTGAATTGAAATAATGGTATAATATGATATAAATAGATGTTGATGTGATATTTTAAATATTAAATTAAATTTTAATATAATATAAAAAATAAAAAATAAGTATTCTATTTGATGTTTTGAAGAAAAAATATTTTAATAACTAATAATTTTGGGAAAGAATCCGACAACCGAACGCACCAGTATATTATTATTATAAAATATATATCTCTTGCCCTACTTTAAATATCCACATTCCAATATCTTCTTGTTTTTTTCAATTTTTTTTCTTGTTTCCTTTTTTCTCTTTCTTGACAGTCTTCCTCCGCCCACAACATTCCACAATCCATTTTATAACGGCGGTTTGCAATTTAACAAATACACAAACCGATCGGAATGTTTCGATCAAACCAAAACCGCCGGTTCGAAAATTGGCGGTTCGGAACCGTATGGACAAGTCTATCACAAACACCGCCACAGCAGTCACTCGGACGTTTTCCCTAATTTTCTTCTCAATTCATAATTCTGGTGCCTGCGGGTTTGCTAGCATCGCAAATAAAAATCAAGTCGTCCCGCAATTGTTGGACTTGTGATCACGATGTCATGGGTTCAAACCCCCTACATCTCAGTAACCTGCCACACATAATTCGCTAATAAAATTTAATTAATATTTTTAATAAAATATTTAAAAAATATAATAGATAATTAAATAAAAAAAAATTTTAAAAATGGTCTCTCCTCCCTTCTTCTATCTTTCATCTAAAAATAATTGAACCAAACTTTTAGATTGTCTCTCCATCCTTCTCTTTTCCTCCTAAATCCTCCAACAAACAGACAGCAAAGATTTTAAATTCTAATCTTTTTTAAATATCGCATTATATATCATTTTTATTTCACAAAAATATTACATCACCGGCATTTGCGGTATTGTTTGGGCGGTTGCTGTCAACATTCCATATTTATTTGTTGGAATTTTCAGGCCCATTATTATAGTCGAGCATCGTTTTGTCCAGCCCATTCAATTTCAAAACCCAACACGCCGACATTATTTCTCATATCACAATCACAGGTTTGCAATCAAATTTCTCAACTTCTTGCAGCTGAATTCGGATTTTTTGCTTTGTGCTGTGGTGGTTTGGAACTGCTATATATACATATTCTTTTGTGGGAGGGTTTTTGGGTTGAAAGGTCTCCTTCTACCAGGTTCCTTCTTGAATAAGTCTAAGAATTATCAGCCTGCAGCTCAGGAATAGGGAAAGAATGGCAAGCAATGGAGGTGAAATCCCTGAGAACGCCAACGAACGTGCGTATTCGTGTCGACTTTCGCTATACTATTCGAGGTTTCTCAATTTGATGATGCTTACATCATAATATTGGTTTTCAGATTGCCCGGGGCCTCAATCGGAATCAGCTGGAAAATCCGACGCCTGCGCTGGATGCCCTAATCAGGAGGCTTGCGCTACTGCTCCGAAAGGCCCCGATCCTGGTGCGCTTGCTGCTTGCTTAATTTTGATTATTATTTTTCCGTGTTGTGGCAAATTTAATTTGCTTTTGGTCTCGATCGTGCCAATAGAAGTATCCTAACTTATACTTGTAAGATTGGCCTGTGCTTGAGTTGATTAGGTTTAGATGGCTCAACTTTGTACTCTAGACGAACATAGTTTCTACCTGAGCAATTCATTCATGTTAAGCTTCATAATAATAAGATTTTGTACACATGGATTAATTTGTTTGTTCTCTGATTTTAGTTCATTTTCTCTATCATATAGAGATAGAGATTAGCTGTATACGTTCTGGTATGTTCTGTTGGTATTAGCATGTGCTAGATTAAATGATAGTAAGCATTGATATTTGTAAGGTAAAGGTAATGTGTTTGTGTGATTTGTATACATTTAACTAAACACCTGTTGGTCTTGACTTGTCTATGCGTGTCTGTGAAATGCTTGCCTGTATCTAAACGGATTTTGTATTTGTAGATTTTTTGTACACTCTTCTAATCATCTACATTTCTTGGTGTTTAATCCGAGGCTAATTTGATTTCAATTGTCCTTGATGTTCTAGGAATAGGAACTGAGTAATTAGAACATCGGATTTTCTGGCATTTTAGATATTTAATTAAGGACATTTCTTCATTCATCCAATAGGAATAGGATATATATATATATATATTAGATAAGTGGAATTTGCATTGTAAATTTTGATCTAGGAATATTTTTCCCTTTTTTGCTGAAGAAGTTGAACGGCCATAGAACTATTTCCTTCCATCTACCTTTATTATAGCCTGATTTCTTTTACTGTGCTTGATTTTATTTTTTTTTTTGTCTTTGATCGAGAAGTATGTTTTCTTTTATTTGTGTCAGATTTGGTCTCCATTGTTGAAAGAATGGCGACGGTGAAACACAAAATACTAGTGTTATCCGGGAAGGGCGGTGTAGGAAAGAGTACATTCTCTGCCCAACTTTCATTTGCGCTGGCAGCTATGGATTTTCAGGTTGGCCTTCTCGATATTGATATCTGCGGACCGAGCATCCCAAAGATGCTTGGTCTTGAGGGACAGGAGATTCACCAAAGCAACCTCGGTTGGTCTCCCGTGTATGTGGAATCAAACCTCGGAGTGATGTCAATTGGGTTCATGCTCCCCAATCCCGATGACGCTGTCATATGGCGAGGCCCTCGAAAAAATGGGATCATCAAGCAATTTCTCAAGGATGTCTATTGGGGAGAGCTCGATTTTCTCATAGTTGATGCGCCACCAGGCACCTCAGACGAGCACATTTCCATTGTTCAATTTCTCCAATCCACTGGAATCGATGGTGCCATCATTGTCACTACCCCACAGCAGGTATCACTTATAGACGTCAGGAAAGAAGTCAGTTTCTGCAAAAAAGTCGGGTTGCCAGTTCTTGGTGTGGTCGAGAACATGAGCGGTCTGCGCCAACAGTTGCCCGAGTTCAAATTCATGAGCGTGAGTGAAAATGGCGAGCAAAAGGACATGACACAATGGGCTATTGCGTACATGAAGGAAAAAGCTCCGGAACTGCTGAATCTTGTCGCTTTTAGCGAAGTGTTCGATAGCAGCTCTGGGGGCGGTGAGAAAATGTGCCAAGACATGGAAGTTACCTTCCTGGGAAAGGTTCCATTAGACCCGCAGCTATGCAAGGCTGCCGAAGAAGGAAGATCGTGCTTTGAAGATGGTAAATGCCGAGCAAGCGCCCCGGCGCTGAAGGCGATCATAGAGAAGCTGCTGTCACAGATGAAGGTATCAAGAATGGAGGAGAATGGAGCCTAGCTCAGCTCTATGTGTATGTATATCAGTATATTGCATTGTGTCAGGAATTTGATTTTATTTTAGGAGAGTATGAATTAATGTTTTTATGGATTGAGTTTTGTTGCCTCTTTTCTTTTTTATATGCATGAACAAATTTGTCTAGTTTCTATAGTAATATATTCTTGTGGTACTCATTAGATAAGATTGGTGTTTGCCTTGGAACTTTTGGCTGGGAAATAGGGCTGGTCTGGTGACTGTTGGAAGTTGGATCGGTAAGAATTTTAAATATAAATTTTTAAAAAATAAATTTTATATAATATAAATTGATAGAAAATGTATACTACAGAGTAATATTTACTTTTTGTAAATATATTTTTTAATATTAATATTATATTGGTCAGTTATGATATTTAGATATTATTTTTTAAAATAGTACATTGTTCAGACAAAAATGGGAAAATGGTACGGAGAGAGTATATTTATTTATTGATTAAATAAAATAATTTTATAAAGTTTTGAAACTTTTAAATGAATTTAAAATATAATTGTGTATTAAAGAAGTATTGAAATAGAAAATTTTGAATAATTCATATTCTATTATTTTGCAAAATGCATCTTAAATATTCGGCCATGTTATGACACATCAAATATAATGATAGGTGTCATTTATTTATTATTGTTGAATCATCCAATTTGGTGACTAATTGTTTTGTAAATGATCTATAAATAGACCTAAATCTCGTGTAATAAGATGAGATTTGAATAAGTCCTATACTATTATTTTGCAAAAATGCATCTTAAATATTTGCCCATGTTATGACACATCAAATATAATGATAGGTGTCATTTATTTAGGTGGCCGAGTCACCCAATTTGGTGACTAATTGTTTTGTAAATGGTCTATAAATCAGCCTAAATTTTGTGTAATAAGATAGGATTTGCTCTCTCCATTCTCGTCTTTCAAAATTTTAAAAAATCACACAAGTATATACATATATAGGCGATATACTTATTATTAGTATAGTTATGTTTTATATAGTTCTCAAAGTATTTCATTTTGGGTTATTTTTTTAACTAGTAAATAACAATTGTAGGATATACAAGTAATTGGTTTAATTAATGAAATAACAGAATCGGTGGAAGTGGTTAATAAGACCCTATAAAAGCGGGCTTACTTTTCAGACGGTAACATCACAATCCACATGCTCTGCCGCGTCTAACTATATAAATACACACACTCACTAACACTCTCGCCACAGCACTCGGATACGTTTCCCCTAATTTTCTTCTCAGAACTCTGCTGCTACAGATTGTTTCTCTCTGTATCTCGTATTCATCATGGCCAAAATCAAGATCGGAATCAACGGTATTTGTCTTACTGTTTCGATTCGTTTTCATGTGGATTTAATCAAGTTCGTCTTTAATTTCCATGCCGAAGCTGTTTCTCGAATAAGAGACCTACGAGTTTATTTCTTTATTTATCTTTCCTAAAAAAATCTGTGTATGTAATGTCTAACGATCTGGTTTGTGTGAGAATATTTAGGATTTGGAAGAATCGGCCGTTTGGTTGCCAGAGTTGCATTACAGAGCGATGATGTTGAGCTTGTTGCTGTCAACGATCCATTTATCACCGTTGAGTACATGGTAGGTATATTACTTCCTTCCATGTTTACGTGTCGTTGGAAGTTGCCTTTGTCAAGGTAGATCTGATCTGATCTGAGTACGTGAGTTATGAGTGACGAATATGACATCTATCTATACATTTTTCATATAACTCACGATGTCAAAAGGTTAATCAATTTCAGTTGACACTTTTGTTTATAAAAATTACTAGTTTATTTATTTGATGTAAATGTGCTTTCTATGTGTATGAATCTTGTTTGTACAGTCGTATATGTTCAAATACGACACCGTTCATGGTCAATGGAAAAAACATGAGCTTAAGGTTAAAGATGACAAGACCATTCTCTTTGGGGACAAGCCAGTGAAAGTTTATGGCATGAGGTGCATCTTTAATTTGCTTTCGTATAATTAGGTTTAGCTATAAATTGAGCACTATTCATTCATTATCTTTCTCTTTTATATACTGATGAATAGGAATCCAGAGGAGATCCCATGGTCTGAGGCTGGGGCTGACTACGTGGTAGAGTCTACTGGAGTATTTACCGACCAGGACAAGGCTGCAGCTCACTTGAAGGTTGCCATCAACATTCTTATTTTATTATTATTAACCAATTGTTTGTCGGTTTGAAATTTTTTGTTATTGAGTAATTGTTTCATGTGTCGAATTCGATATTAGGGAGGCGCAAAGAAGGTTGTGATTTCTGCCCCAAGCAAGGATGCTCCCATGTTTGTTGTTGGTGTCAATGAGAAGGAATACAAATCTGACATTAAAATTGTTTCAAATGCTAGTTGCACTACCAATTGCCTTGCACCATTGGCTAAGGTGTGTTATCATCTACAAAGTTTTTGTTACAGATGCAGATACAGGATCGAGCTTTATGTTAGTTTTGTGTCTTTCAATATTACAGGTGCTTAATGACAAGTTTGGCATTGTTGAGGCGCTGATGACCACTGTCCATTCCATCACTGGTATGTGAATTCATTCATTACTCGAATTTGGACTCTAAATATGCATGCGTATGATAGCAGTCCCAGGTTTGTTTGATTGATTTATCGTGTTTTTTTTACCTGTCATTCAGCAACACAGAAAACTGTTGATGGTCCATCGATGAAGGACTGGAGAGGTGGAAGGGCTGCTTCATTTAACATCATTCCCAGTAGCACTGGAGCTGCCAAGGTATCGTAAATAATTGATCGATTATTTTCAATCATGATACATTATTGCTTGTTTTCACTAGAATTACTAATTTGAAGATAACTTTGTATGATAACTGCTTGAAAACAGTTTGAATGATGGATTTGTAAAAAATGACAGGCTGTTGGAAAAGTTCTCCCTGCCTTGAACGGAAAGCTTACGGGGATGGCTTTCCGAGTTCCAACAGTTGATGTTTCAGTGGTGGACCTTACTGCAAGACTCGAGAAAAAAGCCTCGTATGATGAGATTAAGGCTGCAATCAAGTAAAAGCCATCTTCCATTTCTTGTTTCCTTGAGGATCAGATCAGATTAGATTAGATTAGATTGACAAACTTGAATAATACTCTTTGTTTTTTTCCATGAATGATTTTGATTGTGTAGGAAGGAGTCGGAGGGTAGCTTGAAGGGTATCCTAGGATACACAGAAGATGATGTGGTGTCATCCGACTTTCAAGGCGATTGCAGGTGCGTGCACTTCAGTTTGATACATTTACAAATCATCTGCTTGTAGTTGAATTATTTGATTCGAATTCGATTGGATTCAGGTCTAGCATCTTTGATGCCAAGGCTGGAATTGCGCTTAGCGAGAACTTCGTGAAGTTGGTGTCTTGGTATGACAATGAATGGGGTTACAGGTGAGTACATACTAATATATTTTGTTACTGTGTATCATTTATATGTATGTATGTATGTATGTATTAAACCTGGCTAACTAACTAACTCCAAACTGTATGTATTGTAGCAACCGTGTGGTCGATTTGGTCAGGCACATTGCAAAGGCTGGCTGATGAACAAACCACTTATCTCTCTCTCTTCAACATCCCATTCCCTTGCCTTGGAATGAATAATCGTAGCAGATAGATAAGATAGATGTTCCTTAATTTTGAAGAGCAATTTGTCATATGATATCCAAAGTTTGAGAAACTTTTGGACCTAAAATAAGTTTCTGCACTCGGCCTCTCCAACTTTTATCAGCTATTTCCTTCCATCCCCAGATGAGAGAAAATTACAATTTCAAATGTTTAGATGAATGTAATTTCTCAACACTATACCATGTACTTTGGGCATAAAGGAAATTCTGAAACCCATCTCATGTGGTTTTTTGCATTATTATCGTCATCATCGTTATTCCTTCCTATTAAATGTTGATACAAGTAATCAACATATGATCAAGAAAAAGCAGCAAATGTCGTTGAAACGAACTGTATTGGTGAGTGGATGAGAACTGGCAATGTCAATAGCAGATGAGATGCAAGCAAAACACCTGCAAAAAACCAAAGAGAAGCTAATCAATCAATCGGATAAATATTTAATGGAAAACAAATTTCAATATTCCCTATGTCTGGTGGCTATGTATGATCTTCCACATATTATGCATGTTATACTAATTCAACTAACATCTCTGTATGCCCCTATTGTCTCTCTTTTCTTTCCAATCAAACATCAGATTTCAAGAGAGAATTTTGCATAAAAGATAAGTAGTAATGCAGTGAAATAGCTATTTGCCAATGCTGCTCAAACAGCTCGGTTAATCTGAGAATGCCAATGGACATAGAAGAAGAGTCAAAAGTATTTCAATATTAATCTAACCTCAGATCAGCGCCGTGCACCACCAAAGACCATGTTAATGTTGTTGTTTTTCTTTTTGTTGGGGATATACATCACATTCCCGTTCCTTCCCAGGACCATTGCATTAGTCTTCGATGCCTCAATCTTCCTCAGCTGAATCAAACCCAATCCTGCAGCAGTAGTTGCATCTGAAATCAGCTTTGCACACTCGCTCTCCCCTTCACTCTTAATCACTACTGCCTTCTTCTCTTGCTCTGCTTTTGCCACCGCTAGTTTAGACCGCTCCTCTTCCACCTTTGCCACCTGTTTCTGCTCCACACTCTTTACAAACTCCTCACTGTAGGATAAATCAGTGATCGACACATCATCCACAAAAATGTAAGACTCCTTTGCCTTTTGCACCATAGCCTCGCGAACAAGTTTAGAAACATGAGAATGTTGTGAAAGCAGCTGGTCAGCATTTAGCTGTGCTACAACCTTGCGGACAACATTATTTACAATTGAAGGAAGAAGAGTATTTTGATCGTAGGAATGTCCAAGGGTTTCGAGAATCTTAGGGAGTGACTGAAGCTGAGGGTGTGATAGCACACGCACAGTGAGCTCCACCTCCTGGAGATCTTTTGTGCCTGTTAACGAACACAATTATCTTGAAGTTGTGCATACATACTAAAAGACAAATACCGATTTATTTTGAACAAATTTTAAGAAAAATAAATAAATTAATCCTTGTCGAGAATGCAGTCACAGATTTACAGAGATTCGTTGCTGAAAAACCTAAAATGAGACGCAATCAGTATTTTGCACTAGTCTAGACTCTAGAGAGAGAGAGTTGAGAGATAATCAGAGCAGCAGCTGCAGCACAACTGAGAAACCATTCAATAACTGAAATCTATATTCTATAGCCAAAACACCATACAATTTCATATCTAAAACACCAAAACAGACGCGCCATACACCCTACCACTCACTGTAGTTTTGAGAAATTCGTTCCTAATATCTTGAAAGAGCAGCGGATTCATTCAACAGAAGGCGGAAATCAAATGTTACCTATAACAGAGGAGAAGGTGTAGGGACGCGTGCGAACATCGAATATGTAGGGTTTTTGAAGCCACGGTATGTAGAAGTGTGCACCTTCGCCAACACTGTAATTGAGAACGCCAAGGAAACGATGAAATATAACACCGCGGTGGCCGCTTTCGGTGGTGTAAAAAACCTGTCCGATGACAGTGGAAGCGAGCAGAGGAAGGTAGATGGCCCTAACGCCATATTTGAGAAGTCGTTGTACTCTTTTCCCGTACTCAACAGCATCAAAAAACTCATCATTATGACCCCATCCCATGACTGATGACTGTGGAGTGGTTCTGGTTCTACTTTTGATTCTGATTCTGGAGGGAAATTTTGAAAACGGTTATGAGGCGGTTACCAGAGAGAGAGATGGGCCAAGTATTTATACCACTGACTGCCTCCCAATATGGACCTGGGCTTCGTAAGTTAGGCCATAGAGTAAAAAATTCATTGAGCTTAATTATTTCTAAATTAAAAAATCCGTACTGTCCAAAAAAATAATAAATAAAGGAACAACACATTGCATAAGGATAATTATTATTTTTTTTAATGATATATATATTATGTGTTTGAGATCAAAGTAGAATTTATGAATTTTAGAACTTTTTTTTTATATATATAATGTTTCTTTTACAGTTTTCTAAGTGGATTAGTGAGTTTACACTTTTACATATAGTGGATCAATTTCACTCATTTTTACCTGTTTATTTTACTGTAATTGTATATATATATATTTTTTTAAATATGAATATACCCAATTTTTTTCCTTACTTTCACAGTTTATATCCAACTTCTCCCCCTAAAGCTTATGTCGGCTGCCGTTCACTTCTACCGTGCATATTCAAGCGCCGTCAATCTGTCGCCACTTCCACCACCGACATGCTCTGTCAATCTGCTGCTCACTTCGACCGCCCGCATCCGATTTTCCCTGCTACGCATTTCTGATAACTTTTTTTATTAGAAACTTCTCTTTATCGTGGACAAAAGTTAGATTTTTATAAATATTTTATTTTTTATGCTTTTATTTTTGCTTTCTAATATTTTGTTTTTTCATGTTTTTATTTTTGCTTTCTACTATGTATAAATAATTTAATATAATATTTTTGACATTATTGCGCATTCCTCACAATTTACCTCCATTTGGTATTTAAATTTTTATTTTTCATTCTTTCTACTTTATTTTTAGTATCATGTTTGTTTGATTATTGTATTTTTAAATATGTAATTATAATTTTCGCTAGATTGTGTTGCTGCTGTAGACCTTTCTTTGTGGTCATTGGATACATTTTTTCGTCGTCGAGTTACGTTGACTTAGAGTGTATTTGTTTGGAGGTTTGAATTTTGAGTTGAGATTTGAATAGTAAAAATTTTGAATTGAAATAATTTAATGATATGATATAAATGGATGTCGATGCTATGTTTTAAATGTAAATTGATTATTAGAATAATATAAAAAATAAAAAATAGGTATTTGTTGTAATATTTTTAGGGAAAAATATTTGGACAAATAGTGAAATTTTGGCAAAATTCCTCGAACAACCACACCCTAAATATATTTTATTTTATACTTTTATTTCTATTTTTTTTGTATATAAATAATTTAATATCATATCTTTTGTATTTTTATTCAAATTTATTTTCAATTATTTTTCTTAATTTTTTCTCTCCTAAATTATTTTTTATACTTTTATTTATACTTGTTACTATGTATAAATAATTTAATATGATATTTTTATATTTTGCAAAGTTTAATTTATTTTGTAAGTAATTCTTTTATTGGTAAATTATATTTAATTTTAAAATTATTTAAATTTATTTATATTATTCTTATATTAATTTTTTCTCTCCTCAATTTTAGAATATTATTGTTTTTAAAGAAATATTCAATCACATTAAATATTAAAATATATGTATAATTTTCTAATTTGTATAAATAATTTAATATATAATTGGATATTAAAATTTATTTTCTATTATTATTATATTAGCTTTTTTCACATCAATTTTTGTATAAATAATTTATTATATAATTGGATATTATTCTATATAATATTGTGTCCATTATGATTTTATTGATAATTTTTTATTAATATATAAATTTATTATTAATTTTTTGGAATCATATATATATAATGTTCAATTATATATATAAATAATTTTATATAATTTTAGTAAAAATTTTAAATTCGAATAGTTTTATATAATTTTAGTAAAAAATTTAAAATTTTAAATAGTTTGTTTTTATTTATAATAATAAATGTAATTTAATTTTTAATTTTAATTTTAAAATAAATTTAGGTTATTGTTATATTTTTATTTATAGTAATTATAAATGTTAATTTGTCTATTTAAATTATTTACATGTCATCCATACTATTTTTATTTAAATTATTACGAATATAATGCTATTTTTGAAATACTTTTAAGATGATACAGTTACACAATATTTAATTCTGACAAATAACCATGACAAATAATCAATATGATGTGAATTCTTTCATCAACAATAATGGTACAGTACAAAGTAAGGTAACATTATATTATTTACTTTAGCAATTAAAAAAGCATAAATATATTACATATAACATATAAATAAATATATAACATTTTTTAAAAAAAAAAATTGTTTTAAGAATATTGTCTTATATTATTTACTTTGTTTAATATATCTTGAAAAGAATTTTTTATTATTATTATTATTATTATTACTTTATCATATTATTAAAATAATTACTCGATAAAATCACTTTAATTTATTTCATTCTTAATCATAATTTAATTTATTGGTATATTATATCATATAATGTCATTCATATTACTCTTATTTTAATTATTACTAATATGATGTTATTTTAAATATATTTTTAAGATGATGAAGTTATACGTGATCAACATGATGTGAATTTTTCATCAATAATAGTACTACAAAGGAAAGTAGGAGTATTATATTATTTACTTTGGCATTTCACATGTTTTCACTTCGATTTATTAAGTTTTAGGAGAATATTTTAAAATTATATATTACAAAATATTAAAATAATTTTTGGTGAATTTATTTTTTGAATAATACTTATATTTAAAGTATATACGTGCTCATGTGTGTATATATATATCTTTGAAATAAATATATAATTATTTTTAATTTAATGTTTTATTATATTATTTATCTAATAGTATTTCAATAATTTATATATTTTAAAATATATAAAAACTGAGGAAATTCAAAATTCAAAATTGGATATAAAGATGATTGATCATTTTTATTTTTTTTTTCACCGAACATAACAGTATATATTTATTCTTAGGCATATACAGATACAAAATACACACCCGATATAGATCATGCATACACGTATTTCAAAACAATCAATACATACTACGATTTTATATATATATATATATATATGGTGGGATGACTAGTGACGTAACAAGTCGTAAAATTTTAAAGAGATAAAATATCAGTTTACCTTTTCTATTTAATGTTTTTTTTTTTTTTTCGATTTCTCCTATGGATAAATAAGATTCAGGGAAAAATTAGGTAAAAAATTAAATATTTAGAATTTTTTTAAAATAAAATCCAATATGTTTTTACTAAAAATAATTAAAACATAAAAATATAAATCAACAAAATACAAAACATAAAAATAAAATTGAAAAGTAAATAAGAAAAAATAATAAAAATTACATAATTTTATTATTTTTTACACTAAAGAAACCTATATTTTGGAGGGCTGGGTCAACTACCCTTAATCCTTATATAGAACAGTCCTTGGGTGACAATCCGGTGTATGGTGATGTAGGTTCGGAACTATGTTGAACAAATCCTATTTTTTATATTTTAAAATTAATTACTAATTAACATTAATTTTATGGGTAAAATTGTCAATTTATCACTAATGTTAATTATGATATTGATTTTATCATTTATGAACTTGATTTAAACATTACAAATATGAAAATATATAATAATATAAATTAATTTTTATTTGGTGGCAAAATTATTTCACATGAAAAATTATTTTTTTTTTTAATACTACTCGTTCGAAATACAAAATTACCAAAAATAAAAAAATAAAATTGTATAACGATGTAGATCAACTTGAAAAGAAAAACGATACATTTCGAAATATTATAAATGAAGATTACATTCATTAAATTTTGAATACTAAATAAATTTTCATGTCCAGAATAAATTTTTATATTTTGTTTTCACCGATCATATATTTATTCTATATACGTCATCTTAGACGGCGTAGGAAAGTATTTATATAATAGACGATTATCATTTCATCATTTGTATTTTCAACGAACAAATATATTATTCTTTAGTCATAATTATTTTCAAAATATATACGTAATAATTTTTTTATTTTCCATTAATATAAAATTTCAATTCTCATTATCTTAAAAAATTTTAAAAAATGATTGAAATTATTTTTTTTAAATATTGTTTATATGTTTTTCAAATTTTCATAAATTTTGCATACTAGCTTGAATTTAGAAAAATCATAACCTGTTTTTTTTGTCGTTTTATAAATCTAAAATTCAATTAAACTTAAATAAAATAAATTAACAAAAAAATGAATATATATTCATATTATGAAAAATAATAAATTTGTTGATTATAATGTCATAGAATTGACTTATAATTTAGGTAATTGGAATCTACTTTATTTATCCACCCAAAATATAGGGCATTAATTATGAAAATAGTTTATACATATAATTTTTATTTCCATAAAAATTAAGTCCAATAAATCAAATAATTTTATTCTTCTAAAATATTATTTAGAAATGAATTTGATAAATTGTAATATAGTCTTAACGTATAACATCAGTATTATGTAGTAAATATACTATATTGTAATACTATTGAAATCATATTACATTATTGAATACAACATCTTGTCTAACAATCCACTTCATTTACTCGCATATACTACTAGGATTGGACAACAAAAAAATTTGTAAGCTCCGACAATACATATAGATCTACACTCCTAGAATATAACGACTGCAATTTTTTAAGCTAACAATGATGAATACAGATTTACACTCATAGAAAGCTAATTATAAAAAATAATAGTAAAATTGTTTCAATCTTCACTTTTGCTTAGAACAATTAGCATATTCATCTAAAATGTATAACGTCTCGTAAGAGATGACTTGGTGACGTGGGGGTTGGACTTGTGACCATGAGGTCATGGGTTCAAATCCCCGACGCCTCAGGTCGCCTGCCACATATGATTTGCCTAGTGTGACTTGCATGTCTGGCCTAGTTTGCAGGTAATTTAGCAAGATGCAAGGTTGGCCATCAACTTTCCTTTCAAATCTAGCTCGACCAGGTAAAGGATCTTCCAAATTCGGTACAAAAATGTCTTTTTCAAAGCAAATTCTTTTTATCGTTTCCAACAAATCATCCTAACCATAGGGTTGCCGACAGTATACTTGTTTTTGCTAGCAATTTCAACATGAAATGAGCAATGAAAACAAATTTGAAACTCATCATTTTACCAATTACGTCTGCTGCAGTTCCTCGAGTTTTTTTATCCGGGCCATCATCCGGAATAGTATCAAGAACATCTTTTATTGCATCCCACATATTTAAAATTCAGTCTAATATCCTATAATGCGAATCCCAACGAGTGCCACCTGGATGAGCCAAACTTGTTTCTTGATTTTTGCCATTTCCTTTAGCAATTTCACCACACTCAATGCGCCAAACAAGATTTTCATGGTGTTTTTGTCGCATTGCATCCCTTCTTTTACATAAAGCTCCAACAAGATTCACACTACGGATTAAATAATAAAAAAAGTCGCTTATTAATACCTGATCTTTTGAAGTTGCAACAACCACTAACTGAAGTTGATGAGCAAAACAATGAATATAATATGTTTGCTTATGTTAATTTAACATTAGTGTTTTAAGACCATGAAAC